TGTGTGTTTATATAATAATAATAATAACAGGTAAAGCAAGGCGGGGCGGGGGTAAGTGCTTCAACTTTAATATTGTAAACCCAAGTGCAGACTGAGCGAAGTAATATAATTTTCGGAAGATCGAGGTCGAACCTTCAAAGAATTGTAACAAGAAAGCAATCACACAAATACTTAAACAAACTTAAAAATAAATGATTTGTTTAGGGAATTGTTGAGTAAAGAAAGTTGATTTAAATAATTAAAACAATAATAAAAATACTAAAGCATTAGGTACGCCCTTTAATTTCATACAATAATGATTAAAAACTCAAATTTTAACTTGAGACAAGAATCAGATGTCGGTTAATTCAAGTAACAAAATCAAGTAAGACATTCTAAAGTTATAATCAAAAGATTATTCAGGAACTTGAATAATCAACTAATTATATTATTTTATGAAATAATGATAATTACCTCAAATATGAAATAACCAGTTATTTACTCGCAGTAAAATTTAAGTAAACGATGCATATGGCACAACGACTCAAGGATTTTTACAGAGCAAAAATTTTGCTATAAGATCAGAAGCTAAATTAACAAAATATTATAAATCATTAAACTCAGAATTAATAATATTACCGTAGTTCATTGAGAGGTTCTCCCTTAGCCCTATTTAGCCTTCTAGCCAACATGATGAACTAAAATAAAAAATAAAAAAATGGGAAGAAAGAATCCTCATAATCTCTAAATGAGAACTCCTATTTATACTAAAATAAACCCTAAATATAGGTATAAGATATAAGGTTGGTTTAAAAGGAATTCTTTTCCAAAAAGAAGTCTTGTAAGGTTAAATCCCGTGCATAAAATCTTTGGGGTGCGGGTTAAAATCTATCCAGATTTTGAGTTTCAATTTCGCAAATTTAGAGGCTGAATCACGAAAATTTCGTGAAATACACTTTTATAAACCTTCAAGTCTTCTTTTTAACCCCCAAAAATCAAGTAAATCAGATATCAGAGTCAAAAGTTATGACCAAAATACTGAAGACGTGTCAAATCCTTATCTTCTAGAATACTTTCTTAATCCAACTTTAAATGAATTTTTTTCCAACTTAGACTTTTATAAGGATTAAATTGTTGATTTATCTTCAATTCTTCCAATCTCAATCTTGACTTTTCAATCTTTATCAGTAATGATTCTTCCTTGCATTATTCATTATTATTTTAAATCAACCAATTTACCTGCAAAATAAACCAAACAACTAGAAAAAGTATCAAACTAAAAAATTAAGGAATTTAAAACATTTAATCACAGATAACATGCAATTAACCAATAATTAAATATAATAAAATAACAATTTTGATGATTAATCAGTAAGTATTAGTCTATCCCCACTTTCATCCCCGCATGAATTTATATGGGTATCTTCGTATACGTCCATCGTCTAATACGCATGGTTCATCCCTAGTCCAAACGGGACGGATTTGGACGAATACCCATTTTTACCCGATCTATTGTCATCCCTAATCCCCGTATACGTCCACCGTTCAATATATATGGTCTATTCCAGGTCCAAACAAGACGGGTTTGGACGAATACCTATTTTTTCTCGATCCACTGCCATCCCTATCTACAACCTCGAATTATGATTATGATCCTAATGATTGAGACCAAATTCGTAGAGCATATATTTAAAAAAGGGCATTCTCAACCTCGCGACCATAATTTTCCACGAACAAAATGTGGGCTAAGCTACGAAGGTTCAACCAAGCTTGATTTTCTGAGTTTAGTAATTGCCTTGAGTATATCATATTAAAAGATTTTGCATTTTGTCTATGTTGTTATCTTTTCAAATCTGATATTGGAGAATAAGTAGGTGGTGATTCCTTTTTAGGGAAGATGAAAGAGAAACTTCAAACTCACATTGGAAGTTTTAGTAGCTCTCACAACCAAGCTTAGAGAAAATGTCAAGATTTGTTAAACCAAAAACAAAACATTTAGGCAATTTTCTTCAAGCAATCGAACCAAACTTACAGTGAGTACAAGACTCTGCTTGAATGCATCCATTGATTGCATCCGATTTCTTTCAAAACAAAGGCTTGCATTTCATGGTCATGATGAATCAAAGATTTTAAGTAATCAAGGAAATTTTTGTGAGCTTCTGAGATTTCTTGTCGATCACAATGAAGATGTCAAAGCTATTGCATTGAAAAATGCTCCAAAAAATCTCAAGTTTACGGTACCTGATATACAAAAAGACATTGTAAATGTAGTTGTGATTGAAACCAATAATGTTATCATTACCCATCTCAATGATGCACTTTTTCTCCATTCTTATTGATGAATCTCGAGACATATCAACAAAGGAACAAATGATTGTTATATTGTGGTATATGGACAAGAAATTAAATGTAATTGAGCGTCTTTTAGGGATTGAACATATTACCAGTATGATTAATCTCTCACTTAAGACAGTATTTGAAGACTTATTTTCAAGATATGGGTTGAGCTTGTCAAGATTGAGTGGGTAAGGTTATCATGGGGCTAGTAATATGTAGGGTGAGTTCAATGGTCTTAAATCAATTATATTGATAGAGAACGGATCTACGTATTATGTTCATTGCTTTGCTCATCAATTATAACAAACTCTTGTGGTTGTGGCAAAGAATCATAAGGAAATTGTCACACTCTTCACTTTGGTTGGTAATGTGTTGAATGTTGTTGAAGGCTTGTGCAAACGACGAGATATTCTTTGATAGAAGCATTCTGCTAAAGTTATTTAAGTACTTAATAATGGGGATCTTTCAAGTGGGCAAAACTTAAATCATGAGACTAGCCTTTAACATTCTAGTGATACACGTTAGGGTGCACCCTATAATATTCTGATTAGCTTGATTTGATATGTGTCATTAGTGGTTAATATGATTGAAATGATTTCAGATGATGGTTCAAATGTAGAACAAAAAGGAGAAACAAATGTTCTTTTGGGTTTGTTGCAATCAGGGATAGAGTTAAGCTGTAGCCTGGGGTGGCCATGGCCCTCTCCCCTATAATTTGTATAACATAGGGTCCATAAGATGGTTGCTGGAGAGTCCTGTGTCAAAGAGACTTGGCCTTTCCTTTGATAACCTACTTGTTTGTATAAGATAAGGTATGTGGACTAATCAACCATGAGACAATAACATACTATTTTATTCTTCCCTAATTAGATCAGTAAATTATGTTCTTTTTCCACTCACTCCATAAAAAATATATCTTCGGTAAATGGAAAGGCAATAAAAAAAAACACATTCTAATTTTCTTTTGAGTTTTCATTTTTCTCTCACCAAAATTCCTAACAGGTTAGCCCTTTTAAAAAATAGAAGAATTCGTTGCCCCCATAACTCCAAAACACATTCTCGAGTCTTTCACCCAATCATTGATCGAACCAAAATAATTTCAGTCGATGTGAGTGATATGAAATTAGTGTAAGTGTCTAAGTAACGACACCAAATGATGAGGGAGAATAAACAAAGGTCTTTACTTGATGATGTTTCTTCTTTTTTTTTTTGTGACAAACATGATATAATTGTTCCAAATATGAATGATAAGTTTCAAGCTCGAGGGTGGTCAATGCGCAAAGCTCCAGAGATGAGAAACTTACATCACTATTGCATACCTTGAGCTTTTTTATTCTGTTATTGATATGCAACTTCAAGAGCTAAATGTTCGTTTCATAAAATTAAACACTGAGTTGCTTCTTTCTATAGCATGACCGAGTCCATCTGATTCTTTTTTTTGCTTTTGATAAGAAAAAATTGATTTGTCTTGTTGAATTTTATTCAAATGAATTTTTTTCATTAAAGTTCATGAGACTTTATGATCAACTTATTGTTGATGTGCGCTGTAGTGTTGAGTTTGCAAATCTCTTAGGGACTGGTGATCTAGCCTAAAAAATGGTTGAGACAAAAAAAATTGTGGTATATCCATTAGTTTATTTACTTGTGACTTTAGTATTATTATTACCAGTGGCAAGTGCCACTGTCGAGAGAACATTTACAACAATGTAGATTGTGAAGACTAAATAGCGTAATCGAAATAAGTAATCAATGAATGACATATAGTTTGATTACATTTTCTATGGCATTGATAATGAAGTTATTGTGCAACATTTTCAAAGTACGAAGATTCGTGGAGATCAGTTATAAATGGACTAGTTAAAGCCTGAGTCTGAAGACACGATAAAACATAAAATTCGAGTTCTTAAAAAATCGATCTTACTATATTAAATAATAATTTTTTTCCTTAATTTCTTTGATTACATCATTCAAAATTTATTTTTACCCATTATTTTTTAAAAATATTGACAAAATTTTCTCAAAAATACACAATTCGATAATTTGTTTTCCCATGTGATAGAAATGAGTGATGTTTTTGGGAAAAACAAATATTTAAGGGATAAAATTCAACTTCCTATATGTTTTATTATATAAATGTAATTAGCCTCGTTTTTTGTAAATAGTTATAATGAAATCTCTTTTTAGTTTTTTTAGTTTGCATAGACTATGTATACTTGCTTTTGGTCAATCGATGTTTAATTAATTTTAGAGTATGATATATGATGTAAAAAATAAAAATATATCACATTACTTTAATGTTATAGATGATAAAGTAAAACTCGCAGTTAGAGAGTGTCCACCACCTTAAAAATTATTCTTGGCTCCACCATTGATTAATTCATATGTCCAAAACTACAAAAAGCATTTGATACATTTTCTTGAACAAATAAAAAGATTATAATGTATTTAACTCTTATGAATTTTTTAATTCTGGTGTGGATGACGTGCATTCGACTAAATAAGAGAGAGAATTAGCTGAGGTACACGTAAATTTGTTCAGACATTTCAAACTGTAGTACCAAAAATAAAACTAAAAAATAAAAATATTAGTTGTGAAAAAATAAAATAAAAAATAAAAAATCAGAAATAAGTAGACAAAGAGCATATTTCTTCCTCCATATTTCCGCTGCCGACGAGGGCAGAGGAGATCAGAGAGAGGAAACAACATGGCCTTTTCCACCAAAATAGTTCAACGAATCTGAAACCGTCAATTCACACAGATCCAATGGTTGCCAACTATTAGGGTTTTGGAACATTCTGGAACAAAATGCCACTATAAAATCAGTCCCTTTAGGGCTATTCTACTTCTCCAACGCTTCGTTTTGTAAACCCTAGTTCTCTCAAGTCTTTGTCTCTCTCCTCTTTCTCTCGACGACACTATCAAAGGAGGAGAAGCAATGGCCGGAAAAGGTGAGGGACCGGCGATCGGAATCGATCTTGGAACGACTTACTCGTGCGTCGGTGTTTGGCAACACGACCGCGTTGAAATCATTGCCAACGATCAGGGTAACAGAACGACGCCGTCTTATGTTGGCTTCACTGACTCTGAGCGGTTGATTGGTGATGCTGCCAAGAACCAGGTCGCCATGAACCCTTTGAATACCGTCTTCGGTAAGATATGAGTTCATCTGTCTTATATGTTTTCTTGTTTTAAATTGGATATTGGTAGTTCTACTAGGTTTATGTGTTGGTGTTTCTGATCTGTGAGCCTAGTCATAGTTACGTTTTTAGCTGTGTTCTTTGATGCGATTGCCATGTAATCCACTTTTTTTTATTTTACTTGATGATATTTGCTTGCTAGATCTAATCAAGCACAGGTTTCTTATAGCTGACTTGTTACAATATCTATTTTTCTATTTTTGATTCGTCGATTTTGAAGCTTCTAACCATGTGTTACTGTTTGTTCAGTTGTGTTTTTATAACTTTTGCATGCTTCTGTCCACATAAGTGCACATGATCTTATCGTTTCACACAACTACAAATACGCAAAAAATAGCCCCTCTAGATATAGATCTGAACAATACTATTTGAACTCCAAAAGTTGACACCATTTGTTTGTTCCATTAATCATTGTTATTGATTTAACTGAGGTTCCAAACACTTATGAACGATGGAGTCAACAAATAGTGTCAACTTTTAAAGTCCAAATAACATTTTCCTATAGATCTTGAGGGTAGACCCGGTTGCGATCAGCTTCAATTTTGTTTAGATCTTTTAGGTGGAGCAAATTTGAACCTGAATGTAAAATTACTTTGTGCAAAGTTCTGAGCTTGTAAATCCTATTTGGTACATTGTTGATCCTCTTCAAGATGTGTATTTGCTGTTTGGATGTGAACTTCGTCATAGATTAAAATTAACAGCCATCTTGTTGATCCATCCTTGTCTGGATATAGTTTTGATCCTCCTCCATGAAGTTGACAAATGCTACATGAACATGTTTTTTACTATTTTCTGACCAAAGACTATGAACTTTGGTGTTTTCCATGTTCTATCTTGTATGATTTTTATGAACTTATTACATCTGAATACTATTCTGCAAGTCTTATTATTTTGTGATTGCAATTCTAAGTTGAGTCTATATGTTGCTATAATTCATTTATTTACAAACAAATTAATTTGCTATCTGCAGATGCGAAGAGGTTGATAGGGAGGAGATTTAGTGATGCCTCTGTGCAGAGTGACATCAAGTTGTGGCCTTTCAAGCTCATTCCTGGACCTGGTGACAAACCCATGATTGTAGTCAACTACAAGGGTGAGGAGAAGCAATTTGCAGCTGAAGAGATATCTTCCATGGTTCTTATCAAGATGCGTGAGATTGCTGAGGCCTTCCTTGGTTCAACTGTGAAGAATGCTGTGGTCACTGTCCCTGCATACTTCAATGATTCTCAGCGGCAGGCCACCAAGGATGCAGGTGTCATTGCTGGTCTCAATGTGATGCGTATCATTAATGAACCTACTGCTGCTGCCATTGCTTATGGTCTTGACAAGAAGGCGACTAGTGTCGGTGAGAAGAATGTGTTGATCTTCGACCTTGGTGGTGGTACTTTTGATGTTTCTCTCCTCACCATTGAGGAGGGTATCTTTGAGGTCAAGGCCACCGCTGGAGACACCCACCTTGGAGGAGAAGATTTTGACAACAGAATGGTGAACCACTTTGTTCAAGAGTTTAAGAGGAAGCACAAGAAAGACATCAGTGGCAACCCTAGGGCTCTCAGGAGGTTGAGGACTTCGTGTGAGAGGGCAAAGAGGACTCTCTCATCCACTGCTCAGACCACCATTGAGATTGATTCCTTGTATGAAGGTATTGATTTCTATTCCACCATTACCCGAGCTAGATTTGAGGAGCTCAACATGGATCTCTTCAGGAAGTGTATGGAACCAGTTGAGAAGTGTTTGAGAGATGCTAAGATGGACAAGAGCACTATCCACGATGTTGTTCTTGTTGGTGGTTCTACCAGGATTCCCAAGGTTCAGCAGCTATTGCAGGACTTTTTCAATGGGAAGGAGCTCTGCAAGAGCATCAACCCTGATGAGGCTGTGGCTTATGGTGCTGCTGTTCAAGCTGCCATTTTGAGTGGTGAGGGCAATGAGAAGGTGCAAGACCTCCTGCTCTTGGATGTCACACCTCTTTCCCTTGGTTTGGAAACTGCTGGTGGTGTTATGACAGTGTTGATTCCCAGGAACACCACTATTCCCACAAAGAAGGAGCAGGTATTCTCTACCTACTCTGATAACCAGCCTGGTGTCTTGATTCAGGTTTATGAAGGTGAGAGGACTAGGACCAGGGATAACAACTTGCTGGGTAAATTTGAGCTTTCTGGTATCCCTCCTGCTCCTAGGGGTGTTCCTCAGATCACAGTGTGCTTTGACATTGATGCCAATGGTATACTGAATGTGTCTGCTGAGGACAAGACTACAGGACAGAAGAATAAGATCACCATTACCAACGACAAGGGTAGACTTTCAAAGGAGGAGATTGAGAAGATGGTTCAGGAAGCAGAGAAGTACAAGTCTGAGGACGAAGAGCACAAGAAGAAGGTTGAGGCAAAGAATGCTTTGGAGAACTACTCCTACAACATGAGGAACACTGTGAAGGATGAGAAGATCGGCTCCAAGCTTACCCCAGCTGATAAGAAGAAGATCGAGGATGCGATTGACCAGGCCATTCAGTGGCTAGATGCTAACCAGCTTGCTGAGGCAGATGAGTTCGAGGACAAGATGAAGGAGCTGGAGAGCATCTGCAACCCCATCATTGCCAAGATGTACCAGGAGGGTGCAGGTGGTGACATGGGTGGTGCCATGGATGATGATGGTCCTGCTGCCGGTGGTAGCAGTGCTGGTCCTGGTGCTGGTCCTAAGATTGAGGAAGTGGACTAAGATGTTTGTTGTTCTCTCTGTTGGGGTTTTTCTAGTATTTGGGATATTGATTTATAAGTTAATGCGCTCATCCAACTTTCTTATTTTGGATAATTTTGATGTTTTCATTTTGGGCTCTGAAAGTAATGTTTTGTTTATTCAAAGCCCCACATTGAAGCTAACATAATGGCTTCTAGATTTCCGTTTCTCTTAATGCTAATATACTATTTGGTTTTCAACATGAGCATTATGAATGTCGTTATGTTGTTACAGGAGCTGATGTTCTATATCTATCTGCAGATTCTTCTCCGTAAGAGTATCTCCAACATTTACCAAAATTTGAATCAACAGTAAAAAATTTGATTTAATACAAAAAATTTTAATGGATAAATTTAAATTTAAGGAGGGTAAAATATGATTATTAGATATTTAAATAATAAAATATGATCATTAATTATTTGAATAAAAGTTGGAGTTTATAAAGATTCAAAATTTCATTGATTTGACAGAAATATTCATTATAACTAAGATACTATGTTTACATTGTCATGTAATATTATCAAATAATAATCTGTAGATGGATAAAGAAGTGAATCATATAAAAGTTAATAACTATCTAATTCTTCTTTCATGTAAATCAATAACTACTTAAGTAAGATTGACTTTGTTAATTTAAGATTTTTATTTTTTTGTTTGTGTTATTATGTCGTCAATGCTGATGTGGTATCACCGTTATATTGAATATTCTCTTGGTTGTTTTACAATGATCCGACATCTTCTCATATGGACAACTTGTAAAAGTTAAATATCATCTCCAATTTATCATATTTTATTATACGATTATAAAAACTTTGTATGCTCCTAAATTTTTTATTCTAACTATAAAAAAAAGATAGAAAAATAAATAGTTAAATTTCTATTTTTTTTTATTTTGTGATTGAGATTAATTTTTTAGTGATATTTAAAAAATTAATTTTTTTTAAATTCATTTGATTAAGATTTCACTTGAATAAAATAAAAATAATTATCAATATACTAAACATATTACAACCTTACTGTAATTAAGAATTAATTAGGTCAATTAAAATAATATTTAATATTTATTATCAATCACACTAAAATTTTAAAAAAATTAAATTTTACTTAAAAATACACTACAATATCTATTTTGACATAAAATCTTAGTATAACTTAGAAAATTTATTGTGACTAATGAATTATACTCATGTAACATAAATTGATTTTTAAAAACTATATATATGATTATTTTTTATCCTCGTTTTGAGATGATTGAACACATTTTAATATACTCATTTCAATACTTTTGAATAAATTACCTATCCAAACATTATATTTGACTTAATACTTATTATCCTACTCTTAATACCGTATTTAATAAATGCTTGACTAGAATTGATATTATCTTTATCCCTTATTTAATCTTAAATTTTATTCATCTATCCAAGATTATCTTGTATTTCTTACTACAATCCTTTTTTTCTTAATAGGATATCCAAATGACTCATTAACATCATAAGAGAGGTGCATTAAGCCCTTTATAGCCACATATATTCTCTTTTATCAATTAATCACCGATAATCAATGGTTAATTGGTGGCCAATTTTGTGGTGCTAAGAGGCTTAGAGCTTATTGTAAACATTAGGAAGGACCGTATTAGATCATGTTGTTCATCCTTTACCTATCCATCTGTCATTTGGACTAATTATAATGATAATATCTCTCCATCACATGTTTAGTTCAAGTATTAAGAAATATTGGGCCCCCCATTTATCCCATCAAATACTTAGTTTGGATAGAGTATTGAATGATGGTATAAACCTTAAATTACTAAAAAATCTTCAAGATAAAGAGTAAAATTTATATCTTAGATATATTTGAGGATAAAAATGTCTTTTCGCAAATACATACTAATTGGATCGTTTAAACTCACCAAAAAGGTAAGTTTATTTAAGAGATTGTATGTACTTTTAAATATACTATTCATCCGGCCCAGTATTATTTTTAGACAATAATACCGAACCTAAAATATATATTCAAATATTAGTATAAGAAGAATAAGATGAGATCGGTATTATCTTTTATGATCCCTCTTTACTAATAACTAAAACAAACACACCCTCGTTGTAGCTTGTGTTGGATTTGTTTGGTCAGTTACATGATCACAAGTGCATTTGAGAGCAACGGCAATAGATTAGGTATAAGGATCTTTCATTCCACCACATTTAAACCCCTTATGTTCAAAATTTATGGTAAATTACATTCGACACCCCTTGATGTTCATTCTCTGAGCCGTTGCATATCCTTCTGCTGCACTTACTGTCTCTTAATCCATATACATAGGAATTAGTGCCTGAGAAAACACTGACAATGAATTCCCACCATGAAAACTTATCCGATCTCTCACCGGAAAATGAATTCCCACTAAATACAGACCAACACCACCCCCAAGACCGCCCAATAAAGCGGCATCACACGGCCTGTTACTACGTCCATAAGGTCCATGAAAGTCTGCCCACTAGGCTCTCTAAGCCTTCTTTCAATTATGGGCATTATAACATTCATTTTGATGGTACCTAGAAAATGGCAATAGGTCGCCCTATAAACGTAGCGAGATCGGGACTACCGACTAAACCAACCTCCCTATGAGCGAACTGACCTCAAGAGGACATCTCGTCTTAATGCTTACTCAGCAGATGAAAACTCCACCGAAGCATTATGACATCGTCATAAGTCTAGGTTGGATGGATTCGGATTCCCTCCATTATATATTCCCTTCAATTTTCTTTAATATAATGTTAGATGAGTGACATGTGTAAGATTTTGAATTTCAATAAATAAAATTTTTTCCTTGTGAGAAATTTTTTTAATAATGTTTAATACTCCACCAACAACAGAGAAATTGAAGGGAAAGAGTAATGAAGGAAATCTAAATCCAGGTTGGACGACAAGTCATCTTGCCACCACAACACATTCTAGAAGGCCGCATCATTTCTAGAAAATGTAGCCTCTAACAACCTGGAGAATATAGACTCAAATGACCCAAATATCTCCTCAATAAAATCTTAACAAACTAGGAGACCACTCGATGGTGTCGTTCCTCATAAATATTGAGGCCTACCCTGTGAGAGGGCATGAGAAATATATTGTAATTTTTTTTACCAAGAAATATACAAAGTCTCCAGGAGCAAAAGACTTCATTAGATTGAACTAACCAATCTCCATAGTTGATGAACTACTGTGATTTTTGTGTTTTCTGGTATCCCTGGCTCAACCCTTTTCTCTGTTTTATTTTAATGCTTGCTAGAGCCACCCGACTCCATGACGAATTAACCACCAACCTTCACACACTCACCGAAATAATACCACCAAGTCTTGAGATCCTCAGTTCAAGCACTTAACACATATTCTGAATCCAAACATTATCACATTTTATGGCTGAGTTTAAGCACCACTCACCAATCTATCGCCATGGCAATTTTTGACTTGGCATGTAATTAAAACATAAACTGAAAGCACTCTGACCAATTATACTGTTAAGAGTATTAGGGTAGTATATGTAAATTTTTAATAGTGTTAGGATATTATGTGTAAATATCAGACGGTGTATGTGTAATTCTTATTATTGTGAGTTAAATATAAATACAAGTGATGTATGAGAACTAGATTAAGTTTTTATCCTCTCTCTGTTTCTCTCTAATATTGTGTTAATTTTCTACACTTAACATGATATTAGAGTCATTATGATCATAAACATATATATATATATATATATATATATATGTTCTGAATAAATTAATTTTGGGTACTGTTCGTTGAACCCATCGTGGTGGTGGGGATACTGTTGTCGTGGTTGATCGAGGTGTTGTGGTGGTTTGCTGTTGTGATGGTAGAAGTTGACTTGGTGGCACTGTATTGTGGAGGTATTGTTGTTGAGGTGGTGGCAATTGACTTGGTGGCATCTTGCTTTGTGGTGGTGTAGTTGACGTTGGTGCAGTGGACTTGGCCTTGCCTGGTTGTGTGCTTCGTGGTTGAGCAGTCGACGCTGGTATAGCCGACCTTGGTGCAGAAATTAGGGTTTTGTTGAAACCCTACTCAATGAAGAAAACGAAGATTCAAGTGGGTCGGGAAACGGGTCTAGGTCCACAGGTATACCTATTCTTAAGCCCAGATCCAGATCCAGACCCGAATCTAGATCCAAACCCGAATCCAAATTCATACCCAGATCCAAGACTTAGGAGACTTCATCCGGATCAAGTCAGCTTCAGACCAAACCGGTCCAAGCCCGACTCAGACCTGGTTCAACCTTGGTTTGATCCAAACTTAGTTGGTACAAGTAGTTTTACTCTGGTTCAGACTGGTTCCTTCAGTCTTTTGCTTTGGTTCAGTGGTCCAGTTCAGTTGTTGATCTGGTTCATTGGCTCAGTGTGGTTCTACAGTTCGGTTCACCTAATTTTTATACTGGTTCAACCCGGTTCACCTAGTTTCTACAGTAGTTCAACCTGGTTCAGTTAGTTTCTACTTTGGTTCATTAGTCCAGCGACCTCAGGCTGTCTAGTTCAGCATTCTAGCAGTTCTTTTTCCTCTAGTTTAGCATTCTAGCAGTCCGGTTCACTTCTTGTTTGTTATTTGCTGTACTATTATTTATCCCAAGCAAGATACTAGGTCCCTTACTCCATCTTTCCTTCTCCGACTCTTATTAATGGTTTCATGTCCTCTGTCAAACTCAATGAGACTAATTACACTTTATGGTTTCGATCTGTTCAAGTTTTTCTTTGAGACAACGGATTTAAAAAATATTTGGTGAACCCTAAACCCAAGGAAGACACTCCTGAGTATGATCAGTGAGAACAAGAGGATGCTCAAATTATTTCTTTACTATTGAATATCATTGAGCTTAGTATTAGTTCTACTCTGCTCGACATTGACACTGCCAAGGAGATATGAGATCATTTGGCTACTATGTATTCTTGTACATGTAATTTTACCCAAGCTTATGAGGTGTGCAAAGAGTATTTCTGGCTAAAACAGAGTACTCTGAGCATTGAGGATTATTACTTTCACATTTGGGGAGTCTATGAGAAGATGAAGACCTACCATCTGTTTACTACTAATGCAGCAGTTTGATAGAAGCAACATGAGGACATGAATGTTGTTAGGTTTTTGGTAGGTTTGAAACCTAAATATGAGGCTATTCGTTCTCAGATTTTGGGTGGTTCTAGTCTTCCCTCACTACTTGAGGTTTTCT